TGGCTTGGCCCAACCGCCAGTCCTTCCGAGAATTCTCCTGGGCCGGAAACATACCTAGTCAGCCCTTCCGACATCAACTGCGTGTTTTCTCGAGCCCATCCGTTGGCCCATCCGAGATCATGTACGCATTCTCCTGGGCCGAAAAATCACCATTCGGCCCTTCCTGTATCAGCTGGGCCAACGGCCATTCCTTCCGACATATTCTCTTGGGCCGAAACTGATTGGCCGGCTCTTCCGATATGAAATCCCAACCATCCGCACTTCCGAGATCACATGCTGGGCCCAAAATTACTCGCTTGGCCCAACCGCCAGTCCTTCCGAGAATTCTCCTGGGCCGAAAACATACCTAGTCGGCCCTTCCGACATCAACTGCATGTTTTCTCGAGCCCATCAGTTGGCCCATCTGAGATCATGTACGCATTCTCCTGGGCCGAAAAATCACCAGTCGGCCCTTCCTGTATCAGCTGGGCCAACGGCCATTCCTTCCGACATATTCTCTTGGGCCGAAACCGATTGGCTGGCTCTTCCGATATCATATGCTGGGTCAACACAAAACCTACTGGTCAGCGCTTGGGCCCAAAATCACTAGCAGAGCCCTTCCGAGATGACATGGATATAGAATATCCAGCTGGGCCTATCCGTTCTTCCTTCCGAGACATATATACAGGGCCCATCCGTCACTCTCAGTACCTGTATCCCAATACGATCGGCCCGCTTATCCTATTGATCTCACACTTGGCCGACCCGCCAGCATGGGTACTATTCCAAGCTGTGGGCCCATCCGTGATCAGCTATGCTTGGGCTCACATTGGATGGCCCGCCTCACTGGGTCGATTCTCAACCTTTGGCTGTCCGACTAAGTCGGGAAATGTTACTGAAGGGGCTCGCTCTCCAGTTGCTCAAGAGCGCATACCGTCAAGGCCACATTTCTGCAACATCCCAGGCTGAGTTTGCTGCTCCTTACGATAACTGCGTTGTCGTCGAGGAAGAGTTTTAGTAGTTATTCGTACTAGCAGGTTTTGTTCTCATTTTTTGTTAATTTTAATTTTTTTTGCAATTTAAACAACGGTTCGAGAGTTCGAACGTGTTCTGAACCTGAACTGAACCCTTCCGAACGCGTTCGAAGGCGTCTGGTCCAAGGTTTGGCCACCATGCCTGAACCTGACCAATGGTCAAGTTCAGGGTTCGCAGACATAGGGCCATGAACCTGACCGAACCGGACTTCGGAGGCACTAGTCAAGACTGATGGCGCTGAATGCCAGACAAGCAATAAATCTGTAAATGCAGACCATGTTGCGATCGGGAGAGACGGGAGCGTCGGACTAGGAACAAGGGGTACGAGCGTATTCGACGTACCTGGCTATGACATCGGCCGAGCCTCGCGTTTTCCGTATGTTTCACAATGATATCTTTTCTATCCGAGTTTTACCGTTTTACCTTATGTTAAAAGAACATTTGTGTCGTAAAAACATCTCAGTTCCTCTTATCGAGACTGAGATGTGAGCCTTATGTTTTCATTCCTTCGTACACACGCTAACATTACCATTAGAATATATTCTCTTCTAGGTAGCTACTGATGTACTGAGTTCCTCTTATCGAGACTGAGATAATATATTCTCTTCTAGCTTGATCTTCCCGCGTGCGTTCGCCTCGACTCACTATAGACCAGGCTGCCGTGGAATGTGACGAGCGCATTTTGCTGTAAGTCGTCCTTAACCTTGTCTGTCCTGCAGGTATTGACAAAGAATATAGGCCGTGCGATCCATCTTGTAAAGTTCGGGTCAGCGTGTATGCCTCATTTGAATTGGGTCCCATGGTCTAGTCTCAAGCCTGAGACTATCAGGACATTGATGCTCATGAAGGCGAGGCTTCATTTGGGTCGTTCATAGTCGATTTGCATTCTGTATGTACTGTACACCACCGTATATGTCTGTATAATTCACTGTACTGTACCGTCCACTTTGTCCACCAACAATGTCATGTACGGTGTACGGGTTAGCTGTATACCGTATTTATACCGTATTTATACGGCCGTCTACTGTATATGGTACGGTGTGCAGCCCTACTTGAGCTGCCTTACTCTTCGGCCGTAGTCCCATTTCCTCCTTTGGTTCCTCCTCTCTCGGCCTTTCTGTCCTCGGGTTCATCGGCTCTCAACACTCCCCCTCGAGCGCTATCCAAATGCATCATTCCCCTCAACCTCTGCAGTCTGGGCTGCGCCAAGGCCTTGGTGAACACATCAGCCACGTTGTCCTCGGTGGGGCAATAGTACAGCTTGAAGACGCCACTCTTAACGTGTCCACGGACGAAATGGTACCGTAAGTTGATATGTTTCGTTCTCGACTGAAATTTCCCATTGGACGCTAACACGATTGCTGCTTGATTATCGCAGTATATGGGGATTGGGAGGCTTGGGGCTTCGTAGAGTTCGGCGATGAGGAGCTGTAGGAAGAGGAGCTCGCGCACCACGCTGGTAAGTGCTATATATTCAGCCTCTGCCGTTGATAAGGCTATTAATGGCTGCTTCCTTGCACTCCAGGCTATGGGCGCGCCATTGAACATGACGACGTACCCCGATATCGAATGTCTGTGCGGCTGGGACACCCAATCGGCGTCGACAAAGGCTTCTAGGCCTGCGTCAGTTGCTCCTATGTCGCAAATTTCCGAAATCGATTGTAATCAGGAACCGTTTGTATCACGTTACAATTGCATCACAATGACATTATCAATCTTCATGTAATCATTATAGCGGAGTTTCAATCGATTACAATGCGGTTACAACATTATGGATATCCTACAACTCGCCTTTGATCGCGTTCTCAACCGTTTCCCTCCCTCGCCCATACTTATATATTGCACGTCTATCCAGAACATGGCCCCCGAACGCACAAAATTCTGCAATCTGTGCAAAAAAGACCTCAAACCATGTGGGTGGACCACTCATCGCAAGGCCTGTGAGAAGAAGGCCGAGAAGCAGCGTCAGAATCAGCTTGTTGTGGAATCCATTTGAAGGGAAGATTTAGAGGCAGAAGCAGGTATGTCCAAGTTCAATTCAGTTGTATATTAGTCTAAGTTTTTGTATTTAAATTGACTCATAGGACCTTCAAATTCAGCGAGACATCGATCATACACAAGCGTAAATGATTCAGAGCGTGCCGATGAATTTATGGGAAACGAGATTGATGATGGCATGGGGTATATTGACGGTAAGTCAGAATCTTAATTACAATCGTTCTGTATTATAATTCACGACTCACTGTTGACAGATCACTTTGCTGATGCTGATGTCTCTGAACGTGCAAGCACTCCCGGATTCCGGGTTGATGACATTAGGTGTGAGTATCATCCAAGCAGTGGGATCCCACCTGAGGTCCACGCTTTTGAGGACTTCAAATGGCATCCAACCCCACTGGCATCTATCCCACCTAACAAGCACCCCTGGGCGCCATTCAAGTTGCGACTAGAGTTTGAACTTGCTGAACTTGCCCTGGAGGCTTGTTTGAACAACGAGCAGACTGATCGGCTCATACGACTTTGCAACCGGTGCACTTCCCGACAGGAGAAGTTCACATTCCAGACCCACAAGGACATTCATGACAGGTGGGAGACTGCTTCCCATCGCCTCACAGAGGTTATTTCTTTATTTCTTTGATCTTTAGCTTCTGACAACACTCAAGTTTAGTTTACTCAAGACATGATTTCAGTACTGTATGACGGTACCATACGAGAGTTTGATCTACACTATCGCAATCTCTGGGAGTGGGCTACTGATCTCCTTTGTGATCCTCAGCTCTTTCCACACATGGTATTTGATGCGCAGTGCTTTTCAAAATTTGATGGCAAGACATTTGTAACCTTTGTGGATGAACCTTACACGGCTGAAGCTTTTTGGAATGTTCAAGTATGTAATACTGTTGTAGTGATTTTTTGTATTTGTGAATTGATCTATTCTTTTACCTCATAGTCTCAGCTACCAGAGGGCACCAAACCTCTGGCTTTTATTCTGTATGCGGACAAGACTAAGTTGTCCTTGTTTGGTACCACAAGAGGTTACCCTGTCGTTGCACGCCTTGCGAATCTTCCCACCAACATTCGCAATGGTCAAGGTATGGGTGGCGGCTACGTTGTTGGGTGGCTTCCTATTGTATGGAGTGTTTTCTTAGTTAGCGGTTAGCACTGATTGTAGTTCTAGGTGAAGGACGAGAAGGACCACGCTGGCAAGCCAAGCTGGGTCAATTTCAAGAATGCTGTTTGGCATGAGGCGTTCTTGAAGATTCTCTCACCACTAGTGTCGAAATCTAGTACAGGTCAATGGTTTGAATGTCTCGACAGCATCCAACGCTGGTTCTTTCCTTCAATATTAATCCTGTCGGCCGATTACGAGGAACAGTCAGTGTATTCGTTTCAAATTATTATCTGTACATATAAATAATTGATTACTTGTCAATGTGTTAGATGTGTTATGTCGCTCACTCGAGGGATTAAGTCCCTGTGGCCATGCCCAGTTTGTCTCGTTCCCCATGACAACCTTTTGGATGCTTTGAAGACCTATCCTCGTCAAACATCCGATCAGTCACAGAACATCTTGCAGGTTGCATGGGGCAAGCAGACCGCTGAAGAGAGAGATGATACGCTCAAACAATATGGACTTCGTGATGTCCAGGTAAGATTCTGTTCTCTATACCAGTGGTGTTTTATTACTAACCCAAGCATGTTAGAACACTTTTTGGATTGTCGCGCTTACTTGTGTACATTATGCACTCTCGTGGGATAGGCTCCATTTCAATGGTGGCCTGTACCGCAATCATTTGTGGGCTGAACTGCAGAGATTGATCACTAGTCTTGGGAGAGCAAGTGTAGCGCAGATGGACCACAAGTAAGTCTATAACTTGCAATTTAACAGACTTTTTTTTGATTTCATGTTACTAGCTACGAGGCGTTTCCATGGTGGCGAAATCTCAAACATGTATCGCAAGTCATGAGCATTTCATTCACGGATAGTAGTGTGTATGAAGACATTTCGAAGGTATGTTTTCGTACGTTCTTATTGACGAGTCGAGTCTGATGGTTCTCTTAGATGGTGATCTATGCTGCACATACCATTGTGACTGAGGACGAGTGTCCAATCGGCTACCTCTTACTTCGTTGTATTCGACTTTTTCTTGAAGTCGATTTATATGCAGCACTTGAGGTTCACACAGCTGATACTATCCGTGCAGGCTGACATGCAGTTCAAGCGTTCTCAACCTATCTCCAGGTGTGTTTTCTCAACTTTTCCCTGGAAAATGTTCATTAATGAATCTTATTATAATAGCAATATATAGCTAAAACAGCTGACACAAGCGACAAGAACTGGAACTTCCCCAAATTGCACATGAGTGTGCATATCTTTTGCAATTGATTTCAATCAGATTTGACTGACAATGCTTACATAACAACGAGATTGCAAATTTTTTTGGAGACTTTAATTCTGTAGCAACCATGTTACAACTGTTCTGATACTCATTTTAAACACCACTACAGCAGCTCCCACCACCATCTGCTATTAGTAGATGATAACTTTTCCTTGGACCCTCTGCCTTTAACCAAACAAAGATATTTAATGGAAGGTCGCGTCGTCCTCCAAGGATGAGGATGCGAAGTTAGTGGCGAAGACCTCCAGCAGCAAAAAGACGGTAAGCACCATATCCACCCTAGAAACAAAGATACTAAATGAAGACCCCCGGGATGATCTCATAGATGAAGGTCACGTCGTCCTCCAAGGACGAGGATGCGAAGTTAGCGATGAAGACCTCCAGCAGCAAAAAGACGGTAAGCACCATATCCACCCTATAGGAAGCTAGACACACGGAGTAAGTCTCAGCAGACGGTGAAGCAATGCTAACATTAACTACCTAGACACACAGAGTAAGTCTAAAGCAAGCGTTAACGTTAACAAGATGATAAATGAGACAAGAATGTGATCATACCTCAGCAGACGGTGAAGCAACGCTGAGGTAGAGTGGAAACAGGGAAGGGATTAAATACAGGAATGTCAAGAAGTCCGAGACGGAGAGAAGCGAGTCCGAGACGGAAAGAAGCGACTGATACACGAGGGTGATATAAGATGTCGAAGGTGCTACGAGTCGATAAGAGTCAAGAAAGGAAAAGAGAATTCATAGTATGTCCCGGAGGTTAATCCTCCGGGACTCGTACCATGTGGGCGCACTCTTCTGTCCTCTTTTGTCCTTATCGCCAATACACCCCCTCACCTAGACATCAGGTGAAGGCCCGGTAAGTGTTTCTCAAAAAGGGGACACAGCAATGCCTTCGTAAAGATATCCGCGGTGTTTTTGTGGGAGGGGAGCCACTTAAGCAGGAACGTACCCTCCTCGATATGCTCACGTATGAAGTGATAGCGCACGTCTATGTGCTTGGATCGAATATGATTCCGGGCTTCGGTCGACAATGAAATGGCGCCTGTGTTGTCCATGAATACATGGATGGGGAAAGGGATGTGAATGTGTAGTTCGATGATGAGTGATTTGATCCAAAGGCCTTCCTGAAGGACGTGAGTCACCGCCATATACTCAGCTTCAGTGGAGGAGAGAGCATGGGTTGATTGTTTCTTAGAGACGTGAGCAATGACCCCACCGGCGTAAAACCATATGTAACCCGAAATCGACAAATGATCAATGGGGGAGCCTGCCCAATCAGCGTCACAGAATGCGTGTAAGTCCTCATTTACATTGGCACCCCCATAGTGCAAACGGAGATTGATGGTTCCGGAAAGGTAACGAAGCAGTCGCTTTGCGGCGGCGTAATGAGCAGGCAACAGTTTGGCATTATGTTGTGCGAGCGAGTTTACGGCGAAGGATATGTCAGGGCGAGTGCAGATTGTGAGGTAGAGTAGCTCCCTGACGAGCTTGCGGAAAGGTGTTGGGAGGTTGGGGATGATGGCATGTGAGTCGTCAGGCTTTCCGAACGGATGATGTGGGTCGAGTGGGAGGCAGACGGGATTACAGTCGAGCAGGTTGTATTCTTCGAGCAAGTAAGTGATGTACTCACCTTGGTGCAGCCAAAGCTCACGGCTGCTTCGACTGCGTTCGAACTGAATGCCGATGAACTTGGTGACTGGTCCCATGTCCTTGATACCGAAGCGGTGGTGAATCTTCTGCTTGACCCAGGTCAGGAAAGCGGGATTGTTGGATGTACCCAGCCCGTCGTCGACGTGGAAGCCAATTATGCAGACTATGCGAGTCCCAGAAGTGCTGCTGTCAAAAAGGAATACTGCATAATCGACAGCGCAGCGAGAGAAGCCCAACTCCTCCATGATGTCCCAAACCTGTTTGTACCACTCGATCGCGGACTGCTTCAATCCATAGATCGTCCGAAGCATCCACCAAACCATCACCCTCCAGTCTCCCTCTTCAAATCCTTTGGGCTGATGCATGTATATTTCCTCCTTGAGTACCCCCCAGAGAAAGGCACGTGTGGCGTCAAATGAGTGAAGCTCCCAGTTGTTCTTGCAGGATAGAGCAGCTATGAGGCATAGTGAAGCGGTTTTCAGCACTGGTGCAAACATTGCACCGAAATCGACCCCAGGTATTTGAGAGAATCCTTGTGCGACAAGACGTGCCTTATAAACCGATCCTCCCTTATTATCCTCTTTAAACTCTAGAACCCATCGATTACCGATAGCCTTGCATCCTTCTGGAAGGGGAGAGAGCTTGTAGACACACATCTCATCCATTATGCCGAGTTCCTTCTTCATGGCGGCGAACCATTCGTCTCGATCAGTACGTAGCATGGCCTTGTCGTATGTAGCTGGGGGAATGGCCATGTCATAGCCAGGATCATTGGGATTCCGTTTACGGTTGCTGCGGATGGTAATGTGCACGTGTTCTTCTATCATGACATTTGCGTAGGCTTCGGGGATGTCAATGTTCAGTTCTATATCTTCTAAATTCTCCTCTACCACCTTCTGACCCCTCTGACCACCTTTCTCCTCTGGCACCCCCTCACTCGACAGTGAAGTGGGCTCAGCAGCTCGTGATGCACGAGACTCGTGCAATTGTGCGAGTCGCGCCTTGGTAACAGCGATCCCTTCGGCGAAGGCTTGCCCGGCTGGTGTCTTGACTGTCGCTCTGCCTGAACGACGAGGAATGATGGCTGAGGCCTGCGGAGGGAGAGTGATTAGAGGAGGCACGGCGGAAGGGGGGAGGGAAGGTGGGGACGTGGAAAGCACACGAGGCTGTGAGTCATCCTCGTCGGAGTCAGAATCAGCCGAGGGTTGAATGCTGGGCAAATGTTCATCGAAGATAACATCCCTAGCCACAAAGAAAGTGCCATTAGCATCTCGCAACTGGTAGCCCTTGGTACCTTCTGGGTACCCGACAAACATGGCAGGATGGGAGTGTGGGCCAAGCTTGGTCTGCAACTCGGAGGGAATTCGGGCGAAGCATCGTGAGCCAAACACTCGGATATGAGAAAGATCCGGCTTACGCCCGTTTGCCATTTCGAATGGTGTGACATCAGATGGTAAGGCACGTGAAGCACTGCGATTCCACAAATAGCATGCTGTCAACGCAGCCTCCCCCCATAGATTTGCTGGAAGACCTGCTGCCTCCAACATGGCAACCAGTCATCCCTCGATAGTACGAATGGCCCGTTCGGCCTTCCCATTCTGCTGGTGCGCATACGGCACTGAGAGTTGGTGTTCTACGCCCGAGTCCACAAGTGCTTTAGTGAAGGCAACACTTAAGAACTCCCCACTGTTATCTGAACGAAAAACCTTGACTGTACGTCCGGAGTGATTTTCTCAATGGGCCTTGATCAAGCACCATGCATCTAAGGCCTGATCTTTGGTGGCCAGAAGCTGAATGTTCAGTAGGTTCATGTGATCGTCAAGAAAGAGTATGAAATGACGTTTCCCGTGAGGAGTGGCTATGGGGAACGGACCACACAGGTCCGCGTGAACAAGATCCAGCATTTGTGCAGCGTGAGGTTCCTCCAAAGGGGGGTAGGGCTTGCATGGGTGTTTTGCCATGATGCAGGGTTCACAGCATTGGAGGGGGGCAGTAGAGGTGAACGTGACACCAGTAGCGATGCGTTCGAGTCGTTTGACGGCATCCCCACCTGGGTGTCCCATACGGGCATGCCACAGGTCTAGCGACAAAAGAAGGCGAACAAAAGCGGAGATTTCTTGCAGGGGTTCAAAGTGTGTCGGTGAAGTGATGTCCGGACGAATGAATTTCAGGTCGACAAAGAATAAGTTCCCAGTCATGGGGACTTCGCCTAAGACCTCACCATGACACTTCAACTGACAACGCGCTGGTGAGTGCTCGAAGTTACAAGACCACTTCTTCTTCAACATGTGCCCCACAGAGAGTAAATTGATCATGGCGCCGGGCGCATGCAAACAGTCTGTGAAGGTGATTCTGAACGTTCGTCCACCCAACGTTAAGTCTGCTACGCAATTCCCTCGCCCAGAAGTTGCCAAACTGCCATGATTAGCGGTTTTGACCGTTACGCGAGTGCTCTCAGTGTAAGTCCAGAAATAGCTACGATCAGCAATGAGATTTGAGGTAGTTCCTGAATCGAGTATAGTGGAGAGGGTCTGACGTGCGATGCAGGCGATGTCGTCAAACTGAGGAAGGTATTCATGGTCTGATTCGAGATCCTCTATAAGGGCACATGTGAGGTTGCGTAACTCGTCAGCAACAGCACTGTTTGCGGTGGGAGTGTATGATGGAGGGTTGGAGGGAGGAGCCATATTACTATCAGCGGCTGCAGCAATGTCCTGCTTCTTTGGCTTTCGGTCCCGGTTCCTGTTACCTCCTTGACCTTCCATGCCTCCACCGGTTTGGAAACAATGTTCTCGATTGTGCGTAAGTGAACGTGGAAGTCCAGTGCATAGAGGATTGTCACAGCTCACCCCTTTGGGGTTATACTTGTGAATTCGAACACCTGTCTTAGGGTTTGTCTTTCCATCCGAGAATGACTTAAACAACGTGACATTGGCGTATTCAGATCCTGGACCATTTAACTTATGTTCTCCCCACAGACGATTAGCCTCTTCAGAGAGGGATGTCAGTACTGTGGAGAAAGTCATCTTCGTAGTGGTAGCAGCAGCTGAGGCTGTGGAGGAGGAAGTAGACGCCACAGGTGAGGGGGTGCTGTACAAGCTCATTGTCATATGTTTGAAGATGAGCCAGTCTGGAGTGTGTGGGAGGCCGTGAAGGA